ACCGCCGAAGCCTCCCTTAGCGAGCCTAGAAGTTGACAGTCCCCGGTAGGCGTCACTTCCCTCCTATTGTACCCGACAGCGTGATTAGCGCCCCGGCGTGAACACGTTACAGGTATGGTATGGTACTCACATTATAACTGCATCTTATAAAAATGGTAGGTGTTTTTTGTTCTGCTAGTTGTGACACAGTTTTGTGGTATAGTGAGTCTATTCTGTTATATGATATCTTGGAATGCTACCACAAGTTCAGAGATCCATACTGTATAATATAGAGAGGTAGTGTTTAGTATCTGTCAGTCTGTAACAGGTTGGATTCTATACTTTAGCTAGCTTAGCATATAGGCCGTTATCCTGTACCAGCTTCCATCAGGTTCATGTGCTATCATTAGCATCTACCAGTGGTATGTAGCAAGTAAGGTATGCTACTGAGGTTGTACTTGACTGAAGTAAACAATACTTTCCTATTCCTGCTAGTTATGTATGAATTCTCTGATAATTCTATACACCTATCTCTTCTCCCAGTGCAGTATTCATATTATACCTGATTTAGCTCTTGGTACTCTCTCATCATTTATCTGCATATCAGTTCTAACGAGTTCTCTTATGGGCTCTCTGTGCTCCTAATGTGTTAATTCTAACCTGACATAGTATGGCAGTATCTGTACACTTCTGATAATGCTTGTCATAATACTCATATCTCCTAATCTAATTAGCACCTATGTTTGCACTATGCGTCCGATGGTGGCTGGCACTTTGAGGTCCAGACTGAGCAAAAGCTTCAAGATCTATAATCGGGCCAGGAATGTAGGAGATGGGCATTGCGTGATCCGGGCATGTGAGCCTGCTCCACTTGGGATTTGTTCAGTATAGAAAAATTCAGCTTTTTTTTTAAAGGAAAAAAGCACTGGAGAAGGGGCGTATAAGGGAAGGTGATCGCTAATTAAGCAATACCAACCCGTGCACCAGGAATCCGCCGGGACTAAATGTACGGTCCTCGTTCTTACTACTTTCCCTCCCAAATCCACGCTTGCAAACAAAGAAAATCATGGACAAAGAAGCCAGACCCACTACTGAATACAAACTTGTACTGTGATCGTCACTCAACAAAGAACCTGGAACGCTGTAAAGGTGGAAATAATTACCTTTGTACTAGCACTTCCTGTTTTCCCCTCTGTGACTTCTGAGTGCGCTATGCTGATCTCCGATTAAGCAAGATATGGGTTTAGAAGGTCGATAACGAAAATGAGAGGAAGGAGTGGGAAACTGACAGCGAATACGGGGAGGGAGTGTGAGCAGCACCTGAACGGCTTCCGGGCGGTGCGATGTGGTGTTTCTAAGTGGCTAGTGGCGGAATTTATGGAGAGTCGACCTCTTGGTCGTTTAGTCCGCATATCTGCCGAACAGTGAGCAGGAGGGGGGCTGGGAGTCCCTAGATTCTGATTTTAGTGCGGTGGCCGGTATGAGGTAGAGAGTGGGAGTGCGTGGGGAGGTGCAATTTCTGCCTTCAGTAACTGGATATCTATGCGCCGGTTTGGCTGGAGGCAAGGGATGGGGCGTACTTTGTAAAATTATACTTTAGTAGTGCTGCCGGTGGTTGATTTAGTAACTTGTCTAATGTCTACCACATTGAAGCAAACTTTCGACACGTCCGTGCCATCTGCATGACTGCTTCCCCCATAGGATGGGTCAAATCAAGCTTCCAGCCTAGCCGCCGCCCACTCTTCTACAGTTTCTGCGAGCAGGGAAGAATGAACGGGCAGCTTGGGCTAACTTGAGCCGACTTGAGTTAGGTACTGTCGGCAGTCGTTTCCATCACTTGCTCTCCAGGCCTGGCCAGTGATTTCGTGAAGGGAGGTGGACGAAGGCAGCAAATGAAGGATAGCTCGGAGGCCAGAAAAACGATCGAAGGTTCCGAGAGACCGCCGCAGAGCTCAAAGGATCACATGATATCACTCGATTAATCTTAACGGAACCCAGGAATTTCCCCAGCTGATGAACATTTTTTTCTTTCCTTCTCTAATGGTGCGGAACTGTGATCAATGGTTACGCTTTCAATAGGGAGGGAGGCTCGGCAGATATTATCTTCCGCTCAATCATTCGCCTAGAGACTAATATGCAAACTAAATCTAGCCCACCGAACCACCCAAAACACTGGTATTGGTAGGGCAAAGCCTTTGGCAGTGCTGATGTCTCCTCACGGCTAGATTTGTGCAGGGTAAATTAAGATAAAAAATTATCCCCCGCTGGAAACCTACACCCGGCGGAGGCGGAGGGGGAGATACAGTCCGAGTACTACACAGAGAGCTAAAGGGGCGGCGGGTACCCGCCGGCTGCAGTCACCCTCCCTCTCAGGCCTCTTTCCAAACAACTCACTCTCTTTCCCCAGGGCGCGGGACACCATGTCCAGAACGCCTGGTATCACATCAGCTTTCTGGAGTTGCTATTTGTAGAACCTAATTTCTTATCCCCTGCAGTGTTGATATTGTACAGTACTAGTACTCGAAGTGCCGAATTTCCCTACATCGCGCTAAAATTCAAACTAGTGGCAATCGGCTTTTCGGGCCATTCCAGAAAAGGGTATGTGAATAATACCAAAATGTACTCGTACTCGAACGAGTATTGCGATGAAGTTACAACCCTTTCTCCTTTAGCCCGGGCAAGTGAGCCTATCGTGGAAACTTCATTTGCATCCATGAGTCCAGGAAGTTGGCGGCATCGTGTAACTTGCTTGCCGCTTGTGAAAGGCCGTGTATTCTGATGCCCCTCGAGGTTTGTACCGTACTGTATGCTTACCGGTAATCTGAGATCACTATTCACTGTGAGGAGAGTCCGATGATTTGTCGATATTATGTGCTGACCATATTTAGAGTCACATGGTAGTCTTACTCACCTGTGAGGTTGATTCTACCAATAAAGGAGATCCATTGGTGTGGCTAGCTTACCTTTAGTGTTATGTACAGTACTGTAGGGAAATTCGGCACAATCAACACTGCAGGGGATACCATGGCTCTGTGAACTCGCCGAGTTGCCTTCCTTCATCTCCGTCCCTCGCCCATCTCACCTCGCCGCACCCATATCACTCCCAGTTTTTCAAGTTATCCACCGGCCAAGTATTGGACTCTCGCTCCTCGACCAGGGAGAAAAGAAAAAAGAAAAAAAGCTCTAGAAGTCGTTATTGAGCTTACCGACCCTCTCTCCGCGACCCCTTACCGGCCGATATCCGTCGTCGGCCCAACAATAGGCGAGACAGCTGTGGGATGTGGCATGGTGTATTGTGTGGAATTCATGATCATCGTACGGGCAATGCAGGCGTGGGCAATATACCGGTATCGTTTCAGAAGAATCACAGGGTCTGCACTAGACGAGAACCCCATGCCAAACCTGGGCTGTGAGTTCACACAATACATATTAGATCCCACAACAACCTGCACCAGCTGATTAGAGAATGGGAATATAGTTGGCCCAGTCCGGGGGCTTTGAGAATTCGGTTGGCCCACCCGCAGGGCTCTAAGAGTAGTCTGAACAGTTCGCATGAGATGACATCCTTGAGCTTCCTATCCTTGTTTTGGGCAGCTTAGGAAGAACTGATGGGATCATCCAGCGCTTTTAGGCGATAGACCTAAGCATGCCGTTACATCATACCACGTTTTTTATCCTCTCATTTCTTTCTTTCCTCAAATGCACTGTACCTAGACTAATGCTACGATATATGGGTAATAAAGACAATTGCGAAGTTTCCAAGGCCCCACACGCCACAATGACGTACTCGAGTCTGTGAATCCTCAAATGAGAGATACCATACATGTTGCTTCTGTGGGTATCACCGAAGAAGCACTCCCAGAATCCTTAGGGGAATGGTCGACCGCCTCGACATAGTAAGAAGTGTGCGACCTGAGCCGGTGGTGAGGTGACGGCAGTACAGTACTTCTCAAAGGGGAGAGATCGGACAGCGGTGATGAAGGCGAGCATAGCGGTGGGGATGTTGGCGGAAATTGCGGTAGCATCGGCGGTGTTACTGTAGTGATGAGAGAGTGTACGATCTAGAGAGCGCCGGAAGTGGGAAAGGGATGAATTCGGGGAACACGGAAAATGGGAGAGAGTATGGTGTAGCTATACCTTCCACTAATGACTAAACGAAACAAATCCCACAACGGGAAAGAGAAAACTGACAAAGTCCCCGCCCGGAATTCCTCATCATTCAATCCCACATGCAATCAAGCTTACCAGTTGAGATAACTCCCGCAAATTCCAATTCCCAAGGAATACACCGGGCTCAAGAGGTTCTTGCCACAGTATTATCATACTACGAGTAGGTTAGCAACGTAGGCACTACCATAGCAACTCTCCCCCTCCCCCCGAGAGCTCAAGGTAGGAGGAGTAAAGACCTCCATCGGCCGAGTAGAAATAACTCCCATACCCCTCCCCCCGGCCAGATAGATGGCCGCCCAAGATCACACGTTCCACCGTCCACTTATCCACCGTGAGCTATTCCAGAATAATAAACCTCGGACCCAACACCTTCCCACCCTACACTTGCATCTGCAATATCGATCGCAAAAAGATCTTACTCCGGCCAGCATACTTAGCCAAGTGACACCCCCGCCATATCACGTTCTCCAGGTGCGTTCCTTTTCTGCCTCGGGGGGGTGAAGCGTCCAGTAGCCATTATCATGTATCGGCAGGGGTCGCAGCTGTCTGAATCCCCCATGAACGAGGAATCCTGCAGGAGGTGTCTTCCTTGGACAGGTTATTGGGTGGATTGGCCTCGACGAATGGGGGATGATGGTAAGCTGTTAACATATGGGTATTCACGCCTACCACAGATCTACAATGCCTCGATAAGTTAGGAAAGAATGGAGATGAAAAAAAGTCTCACCCTTCGATCCGCGCTCTGTTGTTCGCAGATCATACCCCCCGACTAACTTACCCGACAATGGTCCAAGTTAGGAATCCAATAAAGTCATACTACGCTCTCATAAAAAACAGTTCCTGCTCTGTACGGCCGTGCAGCTCTATCTACATCTAAGGAAGGGATATGATACAAGCCACAACATCGTGGCGGGGAGAAAAAAATAATAATTTCAATCCGAAAGGACAAACGTGATATCATACCAACTATCTCAAAGAATGGTCTAACAATACCCCTAAGTTATACCAGTATCAGACAACCAGTTTACACGCCTTTCACGCAAAACATCTCCACCCACCCACTCACTTGGGACAAACACTCCGCCAGCCCCCTGATCTTGGCGGGACCGAGTTGAATGGCACGACAACGTTATGATATGATACAGAAAAAGGAACCACTGGTGAAAACACCTCAAGTTGGTACCGGTAGTCTATTCCCGCCGGCAGAAGCACTTGTATCATACCGGTATGATATATATACTGGAGTAACTTACCCTCCCTCCTCTTCGCCTTCCCGCTCGCGAGGAGCACGAGTGAGTGGCAGACTAGAGCGACTCGCGCCTAACGTGAAGGTAACGGTATTAGACCTTACGGTACAGTACAGTACAATGCCTCCGCGAGGGGAAAAAAGGTGGCACTACCAACTTTTACTGCGGTGTGTACTCGTGCAGTGCCCGTACCCGTACAGTACAATGCCGTCACAATGCACTGGGTGAAACACTGGGAGCGGATATCCCGCTCGTGCGGGACCGGCGCCCCGCTAACGTCTCTGGAAATAGACGTCTTGTCCATGCGTGCGTGCGCGCCCCAATCCTTTTTACAAGAGAAGTAAAAAATATATATATATATATAAAGAGCTGGGCTTCAGAAGCGTTTTACTCGGTGTTGGGTGGGCTATGTTTTCCCGCGGGTATTGGAAATTTCAGCGAGTGACGTTCTGTGACTTGACTAAGCTTAACTTTATGTATGATACCATTCTACTCAGGACAGGTAGGTAGGTAGGGCTTTTTTTTGGTGGGGGGGGGGGGGGGTGGCCATCCCGTGTAAATCCTTCGATATCATGGATTAACCGGCAGATGCTGTCCCCGTCGTGTTGTGGCTATCGTTGGTGGGTGGGTTCACAACAGCACATCGAAATGGTCACTCACGGGGGCAATATGGTACGGGCACTGGACAAGAGTCTTGGTGAAACAAGGATTTTCCTTTGCGTCCTGCGCCTCTTCCCCACACGCACTACTGATTACACAATATCCCCCTAAGATAGTAGCACCGGAATCTCGGGAAAAGTGTTTTTTTTTTCCACAAAGACTTTTGTCTAGTAATTGCACCAAATATGTAGCAAATGCGAACAATTTAATAGAGCAAGACGCGATCAGAGGTGCCTAGTGAGAATACCTGTAATACCTACCGGCAATTTTTACATGCGGTAAAGAATATTCACAGGACATCGCTCGCGCCATATAAAAGTCCCTACTGATATCGCGTCAATAGCCCGCCATCTTATTGAACGCGGCAGCACATAATTTTCTTTTCTTTTTTTCCCCTCGTTCCAATTATATCGCCTTACCGGCGAGTAGTATAAGATCAAACAGAGAACCCCGCTATGTTTGTGGGAACTTCAACCCAAGTCTCACTCCTCTCTCTTACCACGCTGTTCCCTGAAAGGGGGGGGGAGAAGAAAAAGCCCCCATGCACTAGACCTGCAACTCCTCCACCCCTTCAACTACAGGTGTCGTTGGCGTCGCCGGGCTCCCAGTCCCACTGCCATTTGTATGCATAGAATTCTTCGCCAGCGTTGCTACCGCAAGTCTCTCCCGCTCCTTCTTCATACCCTCCCTAACCCAGCGACTAACTACGGCTGCCCGATCGGTACTAATAGGGTACTCCTTCCCACCATCTTCTTGCGCCCATCTCTTCGGCTGCACCGCAGGTGCGTGCTGATGCATGGCCCTCCCACCCCCCACCAGCGCAGCTGCAGCCCTCTCCAATTCTAGGCCAACATCACCATCGCCAACTGGTGACGGGGGTGTTCCTGGAAGTGGTGCGGGAGAGCAAAGGGCCTCCCAGGTACTCTCCAACCCCACGAAATTATTGGTCCTACGAAGGACTTCAATCCAATCCGCACGAGCCGGGGAGCGGGGGGACAGGAATATGGGGTAGCCGTCGCAAACACGCGCCAGTCGGGCAACCATGTGTGCGTGCCGGAGGATCTCCTTTATCGGAGTTTGAATCAGCACGTGGCAGAGGAGGAGAGAGTGCAGAGCGTCAGTTAGGAGGGGATGGTAAGTTATTGCTTCACCGCCATCAGCTAGGAGGGCCGCGGCCGCTGCGGTCAAGGTTGAGGAGGTGGAAGTTCTAGGGGTGCTGTTTGGGGTTGAGGTGTAGGTTGAACCATTAGTGGTTATAAGTAAAGTGGAGGGGTATGGAGGGAGGGTGGAGGGTTGGGGGGAGTTGAAGAGGGCGGAGACTTGGTACACGGGGAGTTGAGGGAGGAGGGTGGATGGGAGAGGGTTGCTTATGTTGGCATGGTGGTGGGGTGTGTGTGGTTGGTAACTCCCGTTTCCTGTTTGCCTATAGAGGATTTCTAGGAATTTTTTAGTGTCGCTCCGGGTGCTGCTAGTGCTGAGGTCAGAAGCCTTGTTGACTTCCCGCTCTACACTTCGCATAAATTCTTCCGTAGTCTCCGGGGGTAAACCCGGGGTGTAATCAAAGGTAGATAGAAACTTGATGTAGTCCCTCAAAGCTCGTTTAGCATTAGTCCTAACGGCTTTCGCAGCAGTCCCCCGCTTGAGCGCTTCGGCCTGAGCAACCTCTTCTGGCACTGCTGAGGCATTGGCCTTCGGGGTCAGGCTTGGTTCAATGTTCTGGCAAGCGATGGTCAAGTAAGTCGATGCGCGATGGAAAAGTAACTGCGCTTCTAAACTAGAAGGCTGATCCTCCTCTTCCGTCTTCCTAGGGGGCCCGCTGCCACCACTGCCACTGCCGCCTCGGGTAGCCACTTCCATACCAAGATCGTGCAGACTCCGAGGCCTCGAGATACTCAACGCGTGCGTCAAGTCCTGCGCCGCACCAATAAAGTCATCTTTAAAGCCTTTAGTGACAGCTCTGGTCCTCAATGGCGCGCCCTCCGCAGGCCTCTCGTTAATAACGTCATCCAACGGCTTCAAGCTCGTGCACTTGGCCAGCATTCGGCTAGGAATCTTCTCGTGGAAAAAGTGCACGTACTTCGCATCCGGGTCGCCAGGATTCCTATCAAGCACCAGACTCGCCACCTCCTCTAGGGAACTCGCGCTCTGCATCGTCGCCACCGAAGCCGCGATCTCATCGAGTTTGTAGGCCTTTGCAAGTTTCTGGGTTGCAAGTTCGCGCATCCGGTGTTTGCGCTCCCTGGAGAGTCGCGGCGCGGGACCCCCTCCCGCTATACCCAGCCCTAGCACCCCCGCCGCGCTACCGCCGAGTAAGCCGCCATCTTTGAGCAATGTTGAGGAGGCAATGCCGGAGGCGGCTCGGACAGCGAGGTTTGTCGCGTCGTCGATTAACTTGCGGATCTTGACGAGATCGTAGAGCACGGCCGGGTCGATGGGCCGCGGACGCGGGGCCTGGTAATTGCTGTGAGCGAGGGACTCGAGCACTTCCGGGGGTAATTGGAGCCATGGGCCGTGGAACGAGGAGATGTACCGCCAATGTCTGAGGGCGAAGTCAGCAAATTCCACTCTGGACGGGAAGACCTTTAAACGAGGGCGGAGGAGGATAATAGTTTCTATAACCCCCTCTCCTCTCCTCCACCTTTGTCCTTTTTCCTTCTTCTTTTTTTCCCCGCCGCCCCTCTCCTCAATCTTCCCCCTCCAAAAATTAGAGGGAAGGGGTTGGCGGGATGAGGGAGAACAGCGAGCGTTGTACATACTTGTTCCGACAAATGATCAGAGCGGAGGAAGAAGGAGGAGTATTACTCTCCTTCTCGTCGGCCTTCTTTTTCTTGGATTTTGCGTTCGTCATGGTGATTGTCGGTTAGGGGATCGGTTGGTTGATCGATTGAAGGGAATCGCAGGTGGTGGTCAGTTGTAGTGGTTGTGGTGCTTGTAGTGGTGTGTGGTCTGAGACTGGTAGCGGTAGGGACAGCGAGAGCAGCCTCTCTCTCAAAGTTCCCTACGGCTAACCAAATTTTTTTATCGCTCCAGCTCCACCCCCAACCCTGCTCAAGAGAGGGGGAAGGGGATGAGAGAGAAGGCAAGTTTTCTCTAGTTCAGAGCGACCCATGTATCTCGCTCGAATGCTGTGCAAGCACTGTACGAGTACAAAGTCAGGAAACCCCGAAGAATTGAGCCCAGGCATCATCATCACCATCACGTTCTGCCCCCACTTGTTCCCGATCAACAATCTCCCCCCTCGTCCTTCCTCTCCTCATCTTGGGCCGCATCTTTCTCTCTTCCCCTCCTCTCTTTTCCCCTACTCGTACCCAAGGTAGTGCACCGGTAGAGGACCGGTACCGGGACTCGCAATGTGACAGGCGGAACACCAACGGAAAAAAAAGGGAGAAAAAAAAAAGAAAAAGGAAATTTGGCTGCCCATCCTGCGGCACAGGCTCGCGGTGAGCCGACTGGTCAAATTTTCTGCGCGATTGATGCGGCAAATCTGCACAACATCCATTATCCCTTCCCTTCGGCGTTTCTTTTTCTCCTTTTGCCTTTTCCCTTTTCTAAGGTCTTCCGCCTAGGGTGCAATGCGCTACCCCGCTGCACCCCATACCACACCGTAGTGGGGAGGGAGTCTACGATGATCAGTCTACATAAATGGGCAGTCGAATGGTAGATTCTTGCACTCGAGTCCCGGTATGGCGTTGTATTCGAGTATTGTGACCCTCGATCGTGCACGTGCTGCAGTTGTATAAGAGTATACCGGTTGAGCGCAATACCGGTGCGGTGCCGTGGACTACATAGCGAAGCAGAGGGGGATGGAGTGCATAGTGTCCGCAAAGAAATACTATGTCATCTGCCTCCCCCCCGTAACAGATAATCCGCCCAAAACCACCATCTCATTTGTCTATTCGAATACTATGCACTGCCAATATACCAGTACTTGGTATGCACCTTTCCAGTCCTCAGATCTATCTACCGTAGACCACGCCTCCTTCTGCCTTCCGTCTATCCTTCGCCCCTCCCTTCCAGGACTCCCCCGCTCGTACGAGACTCGTACTAGTACAGCACTCACGCAAATCCCACTCAAAACACCACAAGCACATTACCACCCTTCTTCTTTGTCTTCGCCGGAACGTAAAACATTGAACTGCACTTACCGCACGCATACAAGACATTCTACCCATCTGCCCATTCACCCACTATTATTTGGTCCAGTCCTTCGGTCGTCGAATGCGGACTATATGTTGACGCCTGATCCAGAACGTATGTACGAGTACCGCTACTCACAAGGGTACGGTGCGGTACCGCACTGGGTCCTGCACGACCAGCGGGTGGTTACAGGAGCAGCAGCGGCCAATGAGTGGATGGGTGGGCGGATGGGGTGGATGGAGGTGTGCGACGGCGGATGCGGGATGGCTTTTTCTTGGGTTGGGTTGCTGGGATTGAGGTAATTTAAATGTAACTTAGTCCACAGTCCCGGACCCAGAAAATCTTGGTGAGATGATGAATAAGCCCGCACTTTTAGGCGGCGCAACAATGTGTATCATACATACTCCGTGGACTTTTCAATCATACCGTAGCGCCCATGAAACCTTGCTAGAAGCTCAACGCGGCTGAGAAAGTAATGATACAGATTCTTTTTAATTTTATTTCCCCAAGGAGATTTTCAGAAAACTTCTACTATATGACACTTATTTAAAAAAGTCAAAATTATAGTGATAACTCTAATCCTTTATATTGTAGAAATCTCAGCTGTATAAGCAGTTCAGTGCTATTGCTCTTGACAAAACAAAAAGCTATTTCTTATAATATTATGGTTTTGGACATCCATACTGTGTACCAAATAATCTGGAACAGGAGATGCCTTAACGTAAACTACCGTGATATGACACAGGTCCGTGAACTGACACACGGGTTTCACCGGGGCTCCCGGTTGAAGCGAAAGACCAAAATCGACATAACTACCCCAAAAATAATGCAATCGACAACCAGAAAGAAACAACAGAACTAGGAAAATGATAGGAACCCAGAAACCAAAAATAAATAGCAGACCGAGCACTAAGGAAAATGTTAGCAAAACATGAAAATTGAGTTAGGAGGATGGGAGAATAAAGACCGGAATACCAAAAGAAGCATAGTGAAAGGGACCCTATTGGCGGCGGGTGCGAAGGGACATATGGAGGGGACAGTCAGGAAGGAGTTTCCTAGATTTCGTGGAAGTCCGAGTCGCATAATGTGGTCGGCCAGATGCCAGACTCGAGGAATTCCACTCATGATCACTGAGCAGCTCAGTTTCCGAGTCACTTTCTTCAACCGTAGGATCTAGCAATATAACCATCGGAGTATCACAAACCACTACCTCACATTGGTGGGGAGGAGGTATTTGGCTGTGGGCAGGTATCGTTGTCTTTTTTATGCCTTGAATGACAACTTTCTTTCGCGGTATTGGATTCTTCGATCTAGGTGTCCTTTGAGGTGCTTTTGACTTTTTTTTCTCATCCTTCGCTAACCGAATATCCCGAAGCTGGACCAAGGCTGCCCCATCAAGTACCCGAGCTACTGATAGTTGCCGCTTATCTGTAGTGTTGAAAATCGTCTGTGTACCTTGAAGCTTGCGGTTCGATTCCCTATAAAGTTCCTTTTCCGCAATTTCCTGTTCAAGCTGATGGCCCAATTCTCGAAGTAAGCCTCCAACCTGATTACAAGCTTTCTTGTCCGCTTTAGAATCCAAGCTAAGTAATGCCATACTCTTAAGAATAGTGTGACCGGATTTTACCCGATTGTGGATGTCGTAGGCCGTTCGAGGTTGACATACTGTACCAAGTGTATCGCGATGTTTTGTGAGCGGTGGTGCGAGTTTGCCTAATATTCGACGTGGGTTTAATGGCCATATCCCGGTGGCTGTGAAGGCTGCTCGAATGCTCGTAGACTTCATCGTATGATCGCGAGCTTCGGTAAGAAATGGAATGAAGGCCGCTTTTTTAATTCCTTCCCTGTCTTGACCTGAACGAAGATACTTGTCTACAGCAAGACCGTAATAGTGCTGGTAGGGGCCGAACAGTCCTACATCTAGAGGCTGTAATAGATGTGTAGTAGAATGGGATGGCAAGCAGAGCAGGAAAATACTATGCTCAATACAGAATTGAACAAACTCAAACGTAATATGTGATCCATGACCATCAAAAATAAGGAGCCGGGGTAACCCTATGCCAGCAATCTTTGCTGACTGAGGTTCAAAAAGATCAATCAACCACTTCAAAGCAAGCTGATCATCAGTCCATCCTTTTGGTGAGTAACTGAATTGATAGTCTTGCTCCCTATTTGTCAGATTCCGATACCATCCAAGATAGTGACCTGCCCCCTTATTGATGATAAAAGGAGCAAGAGTGTTGCCACATGCGGAAATCGTCTCAATGACAGTCACTAGCTCCCGCTTTCCGTCATGGGTAACATGAGGATTCCGACGTCCACGCAGGCATAAAACCTTGGCCCGAGCTGCTAGACCCATCAGGAAGCCCTTCTCATCCATATTAAAGATCTGTCGTGCTTGCAAGCTATTCTGCCGTATTATGCGTCCCAGTTTGGTGAAATAATCTTGCAGTAGTATGGGGTCTTTCGCATGCGATCTCTCTCTTTCTAGTCGAGTACTAAGTTTGGCTGCTAATTCTGGATTGCGTGTAAGGAATCGACGTATCCAGTTTTTACCTAAAGGTAACGGTTGACATCCAACAGCTATTCTCTTTGTCTCTAGGTAGATAGCCATATCTCTGACCATATCAAGCCTGGGTGGGAAGCCTCTGTCATCCTGATACTGACACCAATTTACGATCGCCTTCTCTTCAGCTACCGTGATACGCTGCTGGTCTTGGTGCGCTTCAACTCGACTTGAATGGGTTCCCGCGATTCGCCGGTAAAGTGTTCGCTTATCAACACAATATTCCTCTGCTGCTTCTGCTACTGATACTGGGTCTGTTGCTCTTTTGACTGCCTTTATTACTCGCTGAAGCCGTTCTTCATATTCGGATGCTTTCCTGGGATTGACTTTACCCATCCTGTGTTGTTGTTCGTTGTTACCACAATAACTGCGATCAAAAGTGGGGATTATGATATGGGCGATTGATGTCTCAGAGCACGTCAGCCCTAGTGTCACATCCCAGTCGTGTGTCACATCACCGTGGAATACGTTAGGGTTTAGCTTCTAATTCAAAATGTATATATATACCAGTGTTCATTCTTCCAGTACAGCATGGTGATCTTTGATATATATAAGGCATACTATTTCAACCAATATGTGGAGAGAGTGGTGTTAGTAGATAGACTCTATATTGAAAATTCGGGCAAGCTAAGTGACATTACAGGGCTTGGTACCGTCGCTTTGGGGATGGGGGGGGAGGGCTAAAAGGGACAATAGAAAGGGTGGTTAGTATCAAAAAACTCATGGGCATGGTGCATTTAGTACCTAAGACTGCTGGGATAGATAACAAATGCCGGTATGTAAATAATAGGATTGATTTAGAAACATTTAATAGAATATATTGAACACAGAATGAGAAATACATTCAGAAAGAACAAAGTGGAGTGCAAGGGAGACTTAAAAAAATACATTTAAAATGATATATTTAAAACTGGACAAGATGAAGAACAGTAAGAGTAAGAGTTAAAGAGAACTAGGGCATCTCAAAAGGGATGAGGAAGGGTCTACTGGGGATAGTATTTGATGAGTTTGGTAAAAGAACAATTATGTATACAGTGTTGGAGACTAGAAAGGTTTGTTTGATAATGACACAGGAGGAGAGAATGTATACCATAGTGTGAGAAATGTCATGGTGGGGACGGATACTATAACAGAGAAATCAGGGG